AGGGGAAGGACTTCAATCATGTGGGTGCAGCCACCATCTTGACTTTTTTTGTTTCCCCCCCCCCCCAGACAACCCTGGTTGTTAGAGTTATTTAACTGGTTCATTAACAATGCCATTCCCCACTCCAATTAAGTGGGCTACATGTATAGGGCCAGTACTGATCTTGGACCTTCCCCAATCTCTAAGATTTCCCTTGTAGGAACATCCATGCAATGGACAAAGTGGACTGTGTTCCAGGAGAATTTGAGCAGCAAAATTCCTCAGCTCCAGAGCATGGCAAGTAGGCAGCTGAGTGATTTCTTCAAACTACTGGTGTCAGCTCCTCCATAAGTTCCTTCTGTGAGAAGGACGCAAAGTCCAAATGTCTTCAACTTCTTTTTTTTAAGGATAGGCTTCGTCTCTCCAAGGGTCTTTCCCCTGTTGCCTTTCACATAACACAGACGTGTCCAGGAAAACTCTTCTTTGTGCTACGTCCCAAGACGTTGACTTCATCTTGTCCCCAGCCTGTGAGAGACAGCCTTCGATGGTCCATCAATCTTCCCCAGAGAGAGAAGCTGAGAAACATTGGTTCTCTGGGCCGAGATGTGAGTGAGGTTGAGTCGTAGGAGTTTCAGAGCCTGGTTTATTTTCAGATGTTTCATTGCCCACTGACGGAACACCTTCAAGGTTGTGATCTTGGAGAAGTAAGGCTTGTGGGTTAGTGATGGAATAAATCATTGCGTGACTCTACCCTCACAATGCCGGTTATGGCAGTTATCCCCCTGCCATAGAAAAGCCAGTGTTTTGTGTGTGTGTGTGGCCAGCATGCACACCACTGCCCTTCTGGGTTTCTCCTCATCCCGCCTGCTGGACGTCAGATCGCAGAACCTGGCCATCCTCTTTGACACAGAGCTGAATTCCAGAGAGGACAATGGCCCAGGCTGAGCTCTGTCAGAGCAGATAGCATGTCTGCATGGCCAGCAGCCCTTCCTGATCCTTCTCTATTCCTCGAGCTGCATCTTCACGGCCTTCAAGCTTCTCCCAGGCTTGCTGTGCAGGAAGACTTGGCCCTCTTTATTTGGTGGCCTCCGGAGAAATGCCCACTGTTGGCCAGTTGGCCAAGATGGAGTGTGGGGA